ATTCTAACACTAGACCTCCTCTGTAAATCTAAAATGGTAGCTTGTAAAGGCTTTTAAAAACTTTGCCTATGGATATTAAAAACGTATCCAGTTTGTCACCATTGCATGGAGCATGCGCAGTTTTAAAGCATGTCATGTTTGGTATCTATTTACTCGGCATGCCATCATCTTTTATATTTTACCAGATAATTGGCCAATATTTAGTGTTTTTCTGCATTAAAAGTAAAAAAAGTGGTTTTTTTTTTTAAATTGCGTTTGAAAAATCGCTGCGCGAGTACTATGTGACATAAAAAAATTGCAGCACCCACCATTTTATTCACTAAGGTGTTTGCTTTAAAAAAATATATAATGTTGGGGTTTAAATTAATTTCCTAGCAAAAAAAATACTGATTTTTTTCATGTGAACAAAAAGTGTCAGAAAAGGCTTGGTCTTTAGGTGGTTTGAAGAGTGAGTGATGTGTGGCATAAACTTCTAATGCTGGGCATAAAATGCCCCCACCCACCAAAACGACCCCTTTTTGGAAAGCAGACATCCCAAACTATTTGCTGAAAGGCATGTCGAATCAATAGAATAATTTATTTTTTCACCACAAATTTTTGGAAAATGACAAACAAAAAATTTTTTTTTTTTTTTTTTTTACACAAAATTGTCACTTAAATGATTTATTGCTCACACATGTCATGGGTATATGTGGAATTACTCCCCAAAATACATTCTGATACTTCTCCCAAGTATGGGGGTACAACATATGAGAGACGTTTTGGCAGTCTAGCCAAGTACAGGACCCCAGAATCCAATAAGCACCATCAGGCTTTTAAATGGCTTTATTTCCTCATTACACTTCCTGACTACCTATCACAGTTTTGGAGGCCCTGAAATGCCAGGATAGCTCCAAACCCCCCCCCCCCCCCCCCCCCCCAAATTACCACTTTTTGGAAAGTAGACACCCCAAGGAATTTGATCAGAAGCATGGTGAGTATTTTGCAGATCTCGTTTGTTGCCACAAGTTTTAAAAAATTTAAGAAAAAAAACAAAAACCTATTTTTTTCTTTTCTTTTTTTATATTTCAAAACCTTGTGAGAAAAAATGAGATCTGCACAATACTCATTGTGCCTCTTTTTAAATTCCTTGGGGTGTCTACTTTCCAAAAAGGGGTAATTTGGGGGGGGGGGGGGGGGTTGGTGCTATCTTGGCATTTCAGGGCCTTTGAAACTGTGATAGGTAGTGAGGAAGTGAAATGAGGAAGTTACGCACCTTCAGGCTTTCAAAGTGGTCATTGGATTTCAGACTCCTGTATGTGGCTAGGCTCCCAAAAGTCTCACACATGTGGTATCCCCATACTCGGTAGAAGTAGCAGAATGTATTTTGGGGTGTAATTCCAAATATACCCATGGCTTGTGTGAGAAATATATAACTTAAATGACAACTTTGTGTAGTTAGAAAAAAAAAAAAGTTTTTGTCATTTTACAGAAACTTGTGAAAAAAAAATAGATCTTCCATGGACTCAGTATGCCTCTTAGCAGATAGCTTAGGGTGTCTACTTTCCGAAAAGGGGTCATTTTAGGGGTGTTTGTACTATCCTGGTATTTTAGCACCTCAAGGAATGTGATGGGCAGCCAGAAAGTAAAAGCTGTGTAAATTCCATTATCTATACCATAGTTTGTAGATGCTATAACTTTCACAAAAAGCAATCAATATACACTTTTTGGGATTTTTTTTTTAACCAAAAACATGTAGCAGAATACATTTTGGCCTAAATTTATGATGAAATTTTCATTTTTTTGGATATTTTTTTATGACTGAAATGAGAAAATATTGGGGGGTTTTTTCTAAAAATTTTCTCAAAACCTTTTTTTGTTTAGAGCGCCAAAAATAAAAAGTGCACAGGTGATAAAATACCACCAAAAGAAATCTCAATTTGTGTGTGAAAAAAGGACATCAATTTCATTTATGTACCATATTGCATGACTGCGCAATTGTCAGTTAAACTAGTGCAGTGCTGTATAGCAAAAAAATGGCATAAATTGCAATATCTGTACCATAGTTTGTAGACGCTATAACTTTCACACAAAGCAATCAATATACACTTATTGGGATTTTTTTACCAAAAACATGTAGCAGAATACATTTTCACCTACATTTATAAACTAACTTTGAGTTTATTATATATTTTTTATAGCCCAAAGTAAAAAATATTGTTTTTCTTCAAAATGTTTGGTTTTTTTTTGTTTATAGCGCGAAAAATATAAAGCGCACAGGTGATCAAATACCACCAAAAGAAAGCTCTATTTGTGTGAAAAAAAGGACGTAAATTTTGTTTGGGTACAGCATTGCATGACCACGCAATTATCAGTTGAATTAGTGCAGCGACGAGTAGCAAAAAGAGGCCTGGTCATTAAGGGGGGTAAATCCTCAAGAGGATAAGTGGTTAAGTAATATCAAAAGCAAAACTAAACAAGCCGCTGGCCTAACAGGTAGGGCATGATGATATCCACACAAGCCCCACCCAATGTGTGTTTCGTTAAGGGAGCAACAGAAAAAAATTCAGGATTCAGTTGGTCCTGTTCATCTCTGAAATGATTACATCGATCTTGCACTTGCATTCAGGCTACTTAACACTTAAATAAAATTTTTTAAAACTGTGTGTTATTATTTAACTAAACTAGTCTATTGTGTGTTTGCAGCATTCTTCAGTGCCCCAATCAAAAATGCTCATGCTCCCTGATCTCAGAATGTAAGAACTATACAGTGCAGATATAGGTCGGGCATATATTGTCACCTTCTACCATGGATACACTTGATCAGCACCAGCTATTTATATGACTGTCCAGATATTAGACACTCAGGTGAGGATATTTTTGCTGGCTGCTGGCAACTTTGACATTGTAAGCGGCACACTTTTTGCAGCAGTCTGTTGTGGGCATAGCTTTATAGCACAAGCTCTGTAATAGTTTGTAACTCAGAATAGTTATTTTTGTTGTACAGCAGGAAGTCGTGGCACTGTTCACAAGGTGAAAAGATTAGGGTTTATGGCTGAAATCACAGAATTCCTTTTGGACTGTTAGGAAATTCTTCCAGGCACCCGCTGGTAACAAACAACTTGGCCAACCTTGTTGTTGAATTATCGGCTATAACAGGGGTGGCGAACAAGTTAGACACAAAGAGCCAAAATTTTAAACTGTGAAAGTCAGAGAGCCACACCACGCAGTGACCTGCCAAAACAGACAAACACTCACACAAAAACACATAATTAAAACCATATTATTCACCATAACACTTTCTTCTCCTTACAAAACAACAATGTGTTAATTTCAAGGTAAGTGTCCACCCTCAACACACACATCAAATGCAACTTAGCCAGAGTTAACACATCAGCTACCCTGGAGGTTGCTGTGGCACCTGTCTCTCTCTCTCTCTCTCTCCCTTCTCTCTCTCACTCTAACACACAAGTATACAAAAAAAATTCTGAACTAATGGACTGCAGACACAGTACAGGAGATGACCAGAGACTGCGGACAGCACAGGGATGACCAGAGACTGCGGACAGAACAGGGATGACCAGAGACTGCGGACAGCACAGGGATGACCAGAGACTGCGGACAGAACAGGGATGACCAGAGACTGCGGACAGCACAGGGATGACCAGAGACTGCGGACAGCACAGGGATGACCAGAGACTGCGGACAGCACAGGGATGACCAGAGACTGCGGACAGCACAGGGATGACCAGAGACTGCGGACAGCACAGGGGATGACCAGAGACTGCGGACAGAACAGGGATGACCAGAGACTGCGGACAGCACAGGGATGACCAGAGACTGCGGACAGCACAGGGATGACCAGAGACTGCGGACAGCACAGGGATGACCAGAGACTGCGGACAGAACAGGGATGACCAGAGACTGCGGACAGAACAGGGATGACCAGAGACTGCGGACAGCACAGGGATGACCAGAGACTGCGGACAGCACAGGGATGACCAGAGACTGCGGACAGCACAGATGACTGCTGACCTTTGGGGAGGTGGGGAGCGGGTACCTGAATTTGACAGGTACCCGCTCTTCCGCAGAGTTTTTGTTTGATCTTGCCTGTTCCTCGATCCAGCCGTGCGCTGTCTTCCCGGCTTCTGTAATGGCGCTCGGCATGATAGCCGGGTGCCCAGTGCGCATGAGCGAGAAGCACTTGTGCTTTGTGATTGGTCCGGAGGCTTCTGGGATCTGTCATGTGTCCCAGGTACCGCCTTACCATTCACAAAAAGCACCGCTTCTTGCGCATGCGCACTTGGCACCCGGCTGTCATGCCCAGTGCCCCACACTACAGAAGCTGGAAGACAGCGCGCCGCTGGATAGAGGAACAGGTAAAAATAAGAGAAACATGAAACTTGGCAAAGAGCCACAGTATACAAAATATGATAAGAGGCAAAGAGCCGCATTCATTTTGGCCGGGAGCCGCACGCGGCTCGAGAGCCGCGTGTTCGCCACACCTGGGCTATAATATGCTGCACCAGGGCCTGCTATCACAGCCCTCTACAATATATAGGCCTGCTTGATAAGATGTCAATGTACACCTTGTTTTTACTCCAAGCTCACCACTTCATCCAGCGTTAGCAACTTTCTAGGGCCTGCTAACCCAGATGGTTAATGGGAAGGGTCCCCTATGAGCATGACTAAAGACAACAGAAAGATACTAAGTTTCATCACTACTATAAAAAAATAATTAAACCTATGCAGATTATTACATAGGGACTTGTCTAAGGTTTTCTTTGGGGGTAGTGTACTGGGACCTTTCTGTTTTGCTTTCAACATCAGTTTCCATACAGAAATATGTTTTTATGAATATGGAATACAGTATTCTGTATGTTGAATACAGTATGCACTTGCGCTGACCTCATATCAAATGTCTGTGTGCACCACACTAACCTTTATTTTTTTAAAAATGACCTTTTATTGTATTCTGAAATTGTATTTATTATACGCTTAATGTACTTTTTCTTCAACAGGGAATGTATGTGTTTTTACATGCAGTAAAAGGTACGCCATTTGAAACACCAGACCAAGGTAAAGCCAGACTTCTTACACATTGGGAGCAGCTAGACTATGGAGTACAGTTCACCTCATCAAGAAAATTCTTTACAATCTCTCCAATTATTCTGTGAGTTTCACTTAGCTCTATGAAATATATTTTTTATGAGCCTGAATTTTTAATAACTGTGATTGTGTGCAGTGTAAATATCTCTATAAGTTGCCAGATTTTGGTTTTTCCATAAAGTCCCCTTTCCAGCAGCAGGTACTCTCCATTCCTCACGCCACTTGGCTGCCGGACCAGTAAAAGAGCCCAGTGTAAGCTCTATACTGACTTGTCAGAGCTTGCACAAGACCATGAACTTCTCACACAGTCCTTTGTAACATTGTTGGGTCAGTTGTGAGGCACCTACTACTGTCACATAAAAGGTAGCAGGGATTTGCATGCTTTACCGATACCTGTGCCATGTATTTCACTTTGCTTGTGCGATGGGATTATAGCAAGAATGACCAAGTAGTCTTTAAGTTCAAATATAGTTGTCCTTTAAAACGGAATTCGAATTCGAATGAGGAGCAGCCACCTTGGTTGGGACAGAGCAGTAAAATATGCCAAAGATTTTAACCCTTCAGTCTGTCCAAAGCTTAAAAGAAGCAAATTGGTTGAAGTTCTTTAGCAAAAAAAGTCCTGCATTTTTAAGACAAATACTTATAAATATTATACATTTAGCAGTTTGGACTCCACTTCCTCTTTTAAGCACTTCAATACCAGACACTTTCACTCCCTTCCTGCCCAGGCCAAGGATTAGATTTTAACGCTGTCACACTTTGAATGACAATTACTCAGTCATGCAACACTGTAACCAAATGAAATTTGTATACTTTTTGTGAGACAGATGGCTTTCTTTTTGGTGGTATTTAATCACCACTGGGTTTTTTAAATTATTTGCTAAATAAACAAAAAAAACCAAGAATTTTGAAAACAAAAAGTTTTTCTAAGTTTGTTTTAAAATTTAGCAAATAGGTAATTTTTTTTTTGTCTGATGGGCATTGACGAGGCTGCGCTGATAATCAGAGCTCTGTGTAGCTGTGTAAAATCCTATACTCACTGTGCCGCTCACAGATTTAGCTCTGCTTCCCTCACACACGTTCTCTGTATGAGGAAAGGAGAGCCCATAACCAGCAAAGGAATAGAGTCTGTTTACACTGACAGCTGTGATTTGACACAGCTGATCACATGATAAAGGGCTGCTGTGATTGGCCTTTTACCCTGATCTGAGATTCGCTGTGTCCAAGCACACAGCAGTCACAGAGCTCTCCCGATGCGTGCGTACGGGAGAACTGGAGGGCCATGCTGTAGCCATATATCTGCTATAGTGAAGTGGGGGAAGTGGTTAATGTTTTGTTTGGTATAATTTTGCTTTTAACTGAGATAGGCACTGCTAGTCTTAATGATGTAGTACCTGTCTCACTGCCAAAACTGCTCTTCTTTGCTGTATTCAAGAGTTACTATGGCCTGATGAATATTTACACTCTTACTTTCAGATGTGTTCGATACCTGTGAGTGCTTGTGTGGTATGTGTGTTCCTTTTTTTTTTTTCTTTGTATGTTTTTTTTCACCAGCCACTATGTCATTACTGAGTTTGGTTGTGACACAGGGGTCGGCAGGAGGAACCACAGAGGGCGGAAGGAGTCCAGGTGTCCAACACACCTGGAAGTGTGCTGGATACTGAAGATTATTCAGGCAGTTGTATTTCTTGCACATTGGTGCAGGCAGTAAGACAGGTAGGTATTAGTATACTTCGGTTTTAAGTGTTTTTTTTTGTTTGTTTTAATTTAGAACTATAGTCAAAACGTTTTTTTTTTTTTAATTTTAGACAGAGTATGGGAGGGTTATAACCCAAGTCAATTTATTTTTTGCGATCTGTATCCCATTTATTAGCTTCACACTCTCCCTGCCTCCTACCTCCCATGCCTCCAACCAGCAAACCATTACTATAAAAACCTCCATCACCTCAGCCCTGACCTTCTCCATTCCGCTACTTAGCGCCTCTATGATGAAATTGCACCCCTGTCCTGCCCAGAGCTGGGCACATCTGCCTACAACGACTATCTATCAACCTCCCTGGACGCTCTTGCTCCTCTTTCTACACACAGAACCAGGCCTCGCCTGTCACAACCCTGGCAAACAGATGACACCAGAAGACTCAAGAGACGCAGCCGCACTCTGAGCGAGCATGGGGTAAAAATAAATCCCTGAAAAACTTTACCCTCTACAAATCTGCTCTTCTCAAATACAACTCCAGCCTTCACACTTTTAAGCAAACCTACTATAACACTCTCATCAAGACCCTCTCATTCAATCCTCGTTAACTCTTCTCTACCCTTAATTCCTTACTCCACCCCCCACTGCCTCCACCCACCAACTTACTTACTGCACACGAGATTGCCAGTCACTTCAAGAAGATCGACACAATTTGTGATGAGATCTCCAGTGTCAAGCTTCCTCCTCTAACCAACATAACAGGCCCAACACCAAACTCTACACTATCCTCCTTCGACCCTGTTACCACCAAGGAAGTTACCGAACTCCTTTCCAAGGCCCACTTCACCACCTGTCCCCTGGATCTTGTCCCCTCACGACTGTTACAGCCTCCTTCCTGCTCTATCCTAAACTCTCTAACCCACATCTTCAACCTCTCACTCTCCATGGGCACCTTTCCCTCCCCACTCAAACATGCACTGGTTACCTCCATCCTCAAAAAACCCTCGCTGGACCCCACCTGTTTGAATAACTTAAGACCCATCTCCCTCCTGCCGTTTGCCTCCAAGCTTCTCGAGCGCCTTGTTCACAACCATATGAACTGCTACCTCACCGACAACAACCTTCTTGATCCCCGACAGTCTGGCTTCCGCCCACAACATTCCACAGAAACTGCCCTACTAAAACTCACCAATGACCTACTAACTGCTAAAACCAACGGCCATTACTCCATACTCATACTCCTTGACTTTTCCGCTGCCTTTGACACAGTCGACCACCCACTCCTCCTCAGTAAACTCCACTCCATTGGCCTCCGTGACTCTGCTCTCTCCTGGTTCTCCTCTTACTTTTCTCAGTGCACTTTCAGTGTCACATACAACAACTCCTCCGCTCCACTTCCTCCTTCTGTTGGGGTACCCCAAGGTTTTTGTTCTTGGGCCCCTCCCTTTCTCTCTCTATACCTCCTCCCTGGGCCAACTGGTAACCTCCAATGGCTTCCAATACCACCTCTATGCTGATGACATCCAGATCTATCTCTCCACTCCCCAGCTCACCCCCTCAATCTCCTCACGTATGACAAATCTGCTAAGAGACATATCAGCATGGATGTCACATCACTACCTTAAACTCAATCTTTCAAAAACTGACTTGTAATATTTCCTCCTCCCCAATCCCCCACTCATGACTTTACCATTAAGATTAACAGCACTACCATTGGTCCTTCCCCTCATGCCAGAGTGCTAGGCGTAATCCTAGACTCTGACCTCTCCTTTGGGCCCCACATCCACTCACTGGCTAAATCCTGCCGCCTCAACCTCCGGACATTTCCAAAATTCGCCCCTTCCTGACCAATGACACCACAAAACAACTTATCCATGCCTTGGTTATATCCCGCCTCGATTACTGCAACTCCCCTCCTCACTGGTCTACCGTTACACAGGCTATCCCCCCTTCAGTCTATTATGAATGCTGCTGCTAGACTCATACACCTTACCAACCTATCAGCGACTGCTGCCCCTGTCTGCCAATCCCTCCACTGGCTTCCACTAACCCAATGTATAAAATTCAAATACTAACCACAGCTTACAAAGCCATCCACAACACTGCCCCTAGCTACATCAACAACCTCATCCACAGATACCACCCGAATCGCCCACTCCGCTCCTCCCATGATATCCTCCTCTCTAGCTCCCTCATCACCTCCTCCCACGCTCGCCTCCAGGACTTCTCCAGAGCCTCTCCCATCCTCTGGAACTCCCTACCACAGCATGTCCAGTAAGCCCCTACCCTGTCTGCCTTTAGGCGATCTTTGAAAACTCACTTCTTCAGGGAAGCCTACCCCACCTCCACCTAAGAACTGTACTTGAATCACCTCAGCCAGATCATCCCCCACAGCTTTTGTATCACCCCCCCCTTCCTTTAGATTGTAAGCTCCACGAGCAGGGCCCTCCTATTCCTTCTGTACTGAAATGTTATGTAATTGTAATACTGTCTCCCTTATATTGTAAAGCGCTGCGCAAACTGTTGGCGCTATATAAATCCTGTATAATAATAATAATAACTAGAAAAGCTACAATTTCTGGGAAATTGTGTGAAGTGTTCTTGCCTCCACCAGTAGTCTACAACTGGAGTGGACAGAGTAACTGGGTGGAGAGGCTTGTCACTCTGCTGCCTGCTCACACACCTGGGTTCCTATGGCAACTCACTCTACAGCAAGGGCAGAGAAGAGCGGTTAAAAACAAACTGCTCCAACTTGCTCACTTCACTGGCGGTTGCCATCTTCAAACGGTTGTAGTTTAAAAATTATAAATCCTACACCAAAGAGCTTTATATTGTGAGAATCACAAGACCCAGACCTACATTTTGATGCATAGTATGTCTCTGAAATATTAAAAATGAAGGCACAGTCGCAGTTTAGAAATTGCCCTTCACATTTGAGGTGGCTAGAGTGGAGTTTCAATGAATGTGAATGGGCTGCGTGAGTTGCAAACAAATGGTCATATTGTGAAAACTATCAGGACTATGGCTTAGCCGTGGAAATTTTTAGTGGCAACAGGGATAGCTGAACGTTTTGATATAAGATTTGTGTAGGTGGGCTTGAAAATGAGGGAGTGATGGCAGTTTAGAAATCATGTCCTGATTTTTTCAGCTCACACTCTAGCTTTTGTCAGTTCCCACTCTAGTTTTTTGAACATTCCGCCATTCATTCCTATGGGACCAATTTCACCACAAAATCGCCGATATTTCGTGAACCATTCGGCGAAATGTTCCACAAAAGTAATAGCACACCAAATTGGGAACAATCCGCACATTTCGGTATATTACTGTCTATGTAGTGTAAAAACTGTGGGAGGAGTTAGGGTGATAAATTTGGCTATAATAATAAGAATATATATGCGAGATAACAGTAAGTGGTCTTGCCATGCAAGAACACTTAATTAGGGAGAGATTGACCTTCACTTCCTGCCCCGAAGTCAAAAGAGGAAGTGAGGGAAATCCCTGGAAATTAAGGGAATTCCTTGGGGACCCCCAGGTCACCAAAGCAAGCGTCCCCATTGAAACATTTCCCCTGTGTTACTTTTCTGATGACAACCCAAAAAATTTGGGTTTTCATTTACTGTCACTTTCAATGATAATGCTAAACGGGACAAATAGAGGGTGAATCTACCGACTGGGGACACAGGTTGCAATAAAAAACCTAATAGGTGTTCTAAAACCTCTGCACTTTTTGTTTTGTACAAACTAAAAAAAAAAAAAAAAACATTTTTGCTGTTAGCCGCTTCTGTGCCTCTCTATAGCAGAAATACTGCTACAGGGTGGCACAGGTGCGCAAAATCATGTTTATATATACACGTGTGTTTACATATACGTGATTTTGCAGTTTCGGGTAGGAGGCGCGCACGCCCTACCCGCACCACCTTCCACAGCCTCGGCTGTCAATCACTGGGTCCTTGCCAGTGATTACTCACCAGCACCCAGTGATCACTGAGTATCTCCTAACGGGGAGAGACTTGTGTATAGACAACACAGATCTCTTCCCTGTAAGCTCCTGCACACTGCGCTGTGCTTAAAGTGAAACACACACACAGCCCACACATTAAACCCTTTGATCGCCCGATATTAACCCCTTTCTGCCCAGTGCCATTAGTACAGTGTTAGTGCTTTTTATTAGCACTAATCACTGTATTGGTGTCACTGGGGATGTCAGGGACACCAAGTGAGTTCCCCCCCAGTGTCAGAATGCCTACCACAGTCCCGCTATAAGTCGCTGATCGCTGCCATTACTAGTAAAACAAAACATTCCAGTATATATAACACCATTGGTAAACACTATAACTTTCATGTAAACCAATTAATTTACACGTATTGGGATTTTTCTTTTTTAGCAAAAGACATGTATCAGAATATATTTTGGCCTAAATTTATGACATTTTTTTACTGGACATGTTTAATAGCAAAAAGTCAAATATTGTTTGTTTTTTTTCTTAAAATTGTCGATCTTTTTTTGTATACAGCAGAAAAAAAAAAAAAATTCACAGGCGATCAAATACCACCAAAAGAAAGCTTTGTTTGTGGAAAAAAAAAGAACGTAAATTTCATTTGGTTGCAGTGTTGCATGACTGCGTAATTGTCAGTTAAAATAACACAGCGCCGTATTGCAAAAACTGGCTTGGTCAGTAAGGGGGTTAAATCCTCTGGAGGGCAAGTGGTTAGTTATACTTACATTTTTTTTGTTATGTGGTGACAGTGTCTCTTTAATGAATTAAAAATGTATGCGCTTTTAGGCACAGATTTTAGGACGAAGGCCTTCCAAAAAAAAAAAAAAGCCACAGAAACATCCACTGAACACCTGCAGTCTTGTTAGATTAACAATGCTCTTTCCTGTTATTCTTGCTTGCTTTCTTTTTATAGGTACTTCCTGACCAGTTTCTACACAAAGTATGATCCAACACATTTCTTTATCAACACGGCTTCACTTCTCAGTGTCCTTATCCCCAAGTTACCTCAGTTACATGGAGTACGAATTTTTGGCATCAACAAATACTGAACAGGAATCCTACAGACCCTGAAAACTTTACTTCAAGCGCACACATACTATTGGCTCTGGCTCTTTCTGTTCGGATGGAATGGAGAGCCGGCTAAGCCATTTTAATGATTTCTACAGAAAAGATCTCATTGCTCCTTCTTGTAAGCTGTTGGAAACCACATAGACTTGGAGGAGAAGGAGCTTCTCTCAGAAGAGAGCACAAGATCTGATTCAGAGGTTTTCCTCTCTATGCTGGGCGGGCCCAGCTATGACCCGAGGTTTGCAAATCATCCACAAGACTTGTGAAATAAAGGAGTGGTAAAATCTACTCCAAGAAAAAAACATTATAAATTACATCAAAACATGTCCTTTTATCCTTATTTTATCATGTGTAGCTATCCCACATGCAACAGCATTCACTAGCTGACATAATGTTGTGCTGCATGCTGCGTTAATATGCACTAGTAGTTTTGGTTCCTTTTTTTTTTTTTTGTTGCTGTATTCTTTGTGTGCTCCACAATATCTTCTAGTTTGCCTGCAAAGCTGTATGTGATCACTGTATTTTCAGTAATCATCTGGTAACATGCATCAACAGTCGGCACTATACGCTTTTCAGAATGACCAGGAGTTGTTTAATTTAAGAGTTTTGCTTGTGTTTTTCCTGGTGTGTGTGTGTGTGTTTTTTTGTTTTTTTTTTTTTGCCTTACCAGACATTAAATAGCTCTGAGCAGTGGCACAATCTTTGTAGTGTCTAGTTGAAGAATGTAGAGTAAACCATGGTATTATTTTAGTTTTCTAACTGTAGTACTGGCTTAGAAGCAGTTATTAGAAGTCAGCAATCCCTTGAAAGCAGGCTGGATCTGTAGATGGTACAAAAAGAGAAATATTTTGAAGAAGTTTGTGTTAGAATAGTAACACTGATAAATATGATCATTCATACAACCTTCTCGGTTTTTCCGTTTTTGCTGTCCTGAACTCTCTCTTTATTCCCCTACAGAATCTTAATGCCTGAAGGTTTCTTTGGAGACCTTTTGTTGTCCCTTTTGTTCTGCTGCAGATGTTCCCTATGTTGTGAGAGTTAAGCAAGTGCATGAAAAATCAGGTTTGATTGTCCTGGGTGGATGAGGGAGGGGGCATAGTGTTACATGTACAATGGTTTTTAGGCTCACAGCACAGCTTTCTTGTTCCCATGGGGCCTTGCAGTTGAGACCTCAGTGGCACGTACTCCTTAGTTATTAAAAAGTACTTTATGCCTAAGGATAAATGCATTGATTAGCAAATTAGGTGAACCTTTTCTTTTTCAACAGTTTGCCTGAATATGTGCATGCATGAGTCCTGAATGTCTAGATTTACGAATGGCGTGATTCTTCTTAGATGGTACAAATCTACATGCCCATATTACAGTGAATCAAATATGCAAGCAGATTCATTCATCTGTACTCTTGACTTGACCAAGTATAAATCGGTTATTGAATATGGAATGGTATAGAGGTTTAGCTAACTGAAAGAAAAACAGCTGAATATCATATTTTACTTCATAACCATAAATTTGCTGCCTTGAACCAAGCTTCTATATTTATATGTACAAAAATATTTCAGCACCTTTTTTTTACTTTATGACACAGAGGCTAACAGCTGTAGCAAAATCAGGATTCATCTTTGAAAAGAAGCACATTTCTAAGCCTCAATATAAGGTTACAACTATGTGCACCTTGCTATTGCATTAGCAGTGTTTCCAGTTCTTTGCTCAATTTATTATACTTCAGCAGATGTTTGTGTAGGTATGTGTGTATTTGCACATGTGCGACATATTAGGCCACATTTACACTAGGGCGTTTTGATTCTGCCTGTGATTTCAAAATGCTCTGCTAACATGACAAGTCGCAGAACCACATGTTCAGGTGCCATTGATTTTAATGGCACCTGAAAACACAGTGCGATTCTGCCGTGCGATAAATTGCACTGCAATCGTGGCAAACAGCATCGCGTGTTGCCCAAAAGAGAAAAAAAAATGAATGGCACCTGAACACACGGTTCCGCAATTTGTCATTTTAGCAGAGCATTTTGAAATTGTGGACAAAATTGTGGCGATTCAAAACGCCCTAGTGTGAATGGGACCTCAGAAATGAATTTTATCCATAGTGCCCTAGTGTGAATGGGGCCTCAGATAGCTGTCACCTTGAGAATGCATAGGACGGTTTTAGATGAACATAGTCATGAAATCCTTCTGCTTTTTTTTTTTTTTTTTTTTTTCCCCTCTTTCCCATTTCTAAGGAAGAAAGTAAAAAAAATTTTCTTTAGAAACAAAAAGTATTTTTTAATTCAAATGGTTTGGGAAAGCTAACCCTATATGCACAGATTGTAGACATAAATCATGTTTTCTTTTGTCATTGTTGTAAAACATTTGAGAAATGTCCCTTTTTATATTTTCATTCTTCCAGTGGCTTTCAGTTTATTGAATAAATTAACTTTTGCCCTTGAGGTCTTCTGTGTTTTTTTTTTTTCTTTTTAATTTGAACTATAATAGTAATTTTTTTTTGTTTGTGAATGCATTTTAATTTGACTCATTAGCAATATGCCAGGTATGTTTTATCAACCTTGCAGTGCATTCTTTTACATTAATTTCTTCAGCTTCTTGCACCTGTATACCCCTTGTGGTCCAAAGCAATTTTTAAATTTCAGCTATGGACTTATTGATTCAGCAAGAACATTGTCAGTGGTTGTAAGCAAAAAAAATACCCAGTGAAGTGGCTGGCCTCACATGATACACAAAGATAAATTAAATCCTTTCACATAAGTTGTATCTGTTTATCTTCTCTACATCCATTCCAACACTCCAAGTCCAGACTTTATAACGCTTCAAGAAAAGCAGGGGGCAGGACTGAGCTTCAAGAAAAGCAGGGGGCAGGGAGCTGAATTTTGAAAATTGATCTATCCTGACTGCCTATCTCATTCGTTAAGGACATAAACCGCCAGGACAGCACAAATACTCCCAAATTATCCCCTTTTGGAAAGTAGACAGTCTACGGTGTTTATTAAGAGGCATGGTGAGTTTTTTTAAAGTTGTAATTTTTGTCACAATTTTTGGGAAAATGAAAAAAAAAAATAAAAACAAAATCTGTGTGTTTTTTTTCGTCTCCACAAAGTTGTCATTTTAACAAGTTATGTCTCACACACAGCATAGGCATGCTTATTAAACCCCAAACACATTCTGCTACTCCTCCCAAGTATGGAGACACCACATGTGTGAGACTTTTTCACTGCCTAGATGCCTACATAGAGAAAGGGCCCAAAATCCAAGGAGCGCCTTTTGCGCTTTCAAGGAGCATAAATTACACATACATTGTGCATCTAATTTCCTGACTACGTATCACATTTTTTGAGGCCCTGGAGCAACAGGACAGTGGAAGCACCCACGAAATGACCACATTTTGGAAAGCAAACACCACAAGGTATTTTGTAAGAGGCAAGGTGAGTCTTTTGAAGACTTCATTTTCATTTTCCAAAAAACATGGCAAAAAAAAAAGTTTTTTTTTCCTTTTTTACACTAAGTTTAATAAGATATTTCTCACACACAGCATGGGCTTACTTTTAGTTTATATTCAGCATTTCTTATGAATCCTAGTCAGACCCTTCTGTGCCATCGGCTTTTGCTGGTTCATATACCCCCCCCCCCCCCCCCTTATTTGGGTGCTCGTTTTTCCTTCTGTTATGCAAGGATTTATGACTCGGCACTTATTAATCATAAGAGCTGAAAACACTCACCACCACCTTTCCTAGTGGCTCCTGAGGCAGAAATGCCTAACATTTCTGATTCTGTTGGTGATCCTCACAAGAATTCGCTGTTGGATACTCCCCCCTTCAAGAAGGAGATGCAGTAGCCGAATTTTAGTCAGGGGTTGTCTCTCCAAAACAGAAGGAAATTGTGTCCTTTCTAATAGAGGCTCTTCATTCTACCTTAAAATTTAAGGATTCCTTCCCATTACATGGGGTCTGGACTCTGTTCTCCTAAATCCAAATGTTCGACCCAAGGTGTTAACCTTTTTAAACCTTATGTGACGACTATTTACAAAGATTCTGTTTCAATATTTTTATTAAGAAAGTTTTATTTTATGAACACAACAAGCTCAATATACACCCACGCAGGGGCCGAGCATAACAACTCAGGAACAGGTACATCCTGCTGACTTGTATTAGCCAAATAATAAAATGTCCAATAACAGCAAGGAAGGTCGGTAAACAGCCGACCCAAATATTATCGGCAGTAGTCCAACATAATACCATAAAGAGAAGAGGAAAGAAAAAAGGTTAGAAGAAAGAAAAAAAAAGGAATTAGAAAGAAAACAGAGGAAAGGGAGACTAGAAGAGTCACGATCCAGGCTTAGCATAGGCAGCAATTATAAGGGGTCATACAGTCAGGTCCATAAATATTGGGACATTGCCACAATTCTAACATTTTTGGCTCTATACACCACCGCAATGGATTTGAAATGAAACAAACAAGATGTGCTTTAACTGCAGACTGTCAGCTTTAATTTGAGGGTATTTACATCCAAATCAGGTGAACGGTGTAGGAATTACAACAGTTTGCATATGTGCCTCCCACTTGTTAAGGGACCAAAAGTAATGGGACAGAATAATCATAAATCATACTTTCACTTTTTAATACTTGTTTGCAAATCCTTTGCAGTCAATTACAGCCTGAAGTCTGGAACGCATAGACATCACCAGACGCTGGGTTTCATCCCTGGTGATGCTCTGCCAGGCCTCTACTGCAACTGTCTTCAGTTCCTGCTTGTTCTTGGGGCACTTTCCCTTCAGTTTTGTCTTCAGCAAGTGAAATGCATGCTCAATCAGATTCAGGTCAGGTGATTGACTTGGCCATTGCATAACATTCCACTTCTTTCCCTTAAAAAACTCTCTGGTTGCTTTTGCAGTATGCTTTGGGTCATTGTCCATCTGCACTGTGAAGCGGCGTCCAATGAGTTCTGAAGCATTTGGCTGAATATGAGCAGATAATA